GGACAAAGGAAAAATTTCCAGCAGCCCTTCTCTCCTTTCCCCATCCATCTCATAGCTGCGCAACCCCAAAGATGCTCTTGTCTCTTACCAAATTTTTTTTATTTATTTAAAATTTACATTTGTATAGTTTGCTTATTTAAATGGGTTCAATTTAATTTTTTTTTGCCATTTAATTTGTAATCCGATTACTTTTATTAATTGAAATTCGCATTTGATTTTGTCTTTATGTTATTATTTTCTTGTGCTGGGAGGGATGACGAACAAAGGCCATGGTCATGGTTGGCACAGCCCGTCCTCTGAGGTCATGCCTGTTCCACTCTTGGAGCCAATATGGCTTCTCCACAGCTCTATTCTCAGCAGCTGGGACAGGCACAGTAGACCATCGGGGCAGACACACAGGGCTTGGCACAAGGGTGTGGGGTGTGCTCAAGACTTGGCTGGAGTTCCTGGCTGTGATGCCTTGGGTTTTGGCAGAAGGTGCCAAGTTGTTCCGTGTGTTCCTGGAGCTGGGGACATCTGTGGCATGGTCAGAGCAGATGCCCACCTGGCAAGGCACCCGGAGGACAGCAGACCCAAGACTTGGGGACCAGGCTACTGACACTGTGGGAGCAGCTGGGCCTAGCCACAATGTATCCCACAATTTCTCCCTGTGAGGAGCCCCTGGAGTTCCTTTGTTTCCACAGCCACTTCAAGCTGGCTTCTTATGTCTGTTACAGAGAACCATAAGACTTGTTGAACAGTTACCGTGCCTGACTTCGCAGGTTTCCACTTTGCTCTGACCCTTTTCTGCTATGAGCAAGGCATAAGCCCCCAAATCCCAGGACTCCTCAGAACCTCAGGTTCCTCACTTGTACAATAGAAACAAAAACCCAACCTCACAGGGCTGTTGCACTGGGCTATGGCTGAAGCTCAGCAGTAGGGTCTGCTTTTCTGACACAGGTGAGGACCAAGGTTCGATCCCCAGTACTGTCACAGAACTGCCGAGAGGATAGAAAAGCAGCGTGGGAATGGTCCACGTGAAATGTTCGGGTTGTGCTTATTTTTATCAGTTACTATTAATACATGCAAGATGATGGCAGGATGTGAGTCTACTTTCTTCTCTTCTTTGTGATCCCATATGCTTGCCATGCAGATGGACGTTGGGGAAATTTTAAAAGAAAGTATTAAGGTCTGCCCTCTGTTTCTGGGAATCAGAAGATGAAGAAGATATCATGACCCCGTGGCTCCTCAGGGTTAGTAGGAGCCATCATTGGCTTAAAGAGCCACCAAGAGCAAGGGGTGAATATACCTGAAATCATCCAGGGTTAGTTCCTTAACACAGCCCATGCTTCACATAGGGGCTGTTCTGGGGGAGCGTGTTGGAAGGCTCTCAGGACTAGAAACAGGGAGACCTCTGTTTGGTGTCTTTTCTTGGGGAGATGTAAACAAATGTCTGTTTACCCCAGCACCAGTGACAGACCTAAGATATCATTCCACCCAATTCCAGCTTGGGGAAGCACTGAATTTATTTTGGTGACTTACTGGAGAATGGGGGACTTGGAGGCAGTTGCTTTGCCATAAAGCCCCGCCCCAACCTGGATAACAATAGAGTTCCCTGCCCCACTGTTGAAGAAGTACCATTGTGTGTGCATATGTGTGTGTGTGTGTATGCATGTGTGTGCGCATATGGGTGTGTTATGTGTGCGCACGTGTATGTGTGCATTGTGTGTGCACATGTGTGCGTGCGTGTGTATGTGTGTGTTGTGAGTGCGTGCGTGTGTGTGTGTAAGAGGCCAGGACAGGCTGTCTGGATTCCTAGGAGCTGGAGTTGCAGGCTGTTGTGAGAACTAGGGCCCAAACTCAGGTAATACACACTTTCCCTTAACTGCTGAGCCCTCTCTCCTGTCCCAAATGCTTACTTCTCTAACCTCAGTGCAGGGCCTTGTGAGTCTTGGAGCTTTCTGTACCTGGTAAGTTTCCTCAGCTTTCCGAGTCTTGTCCCGCCTCCTCGAAGAAAGAACCTCAACCTTTGTTCTCACTCAGGGTGAAGGAGGAAGATGAAGAACTTGCCTGTTGATATCGGGAACAGGCAGAGGGGCATCATATCCACAGCTGATCTGGGCTTGAGGGGCATACTTTAGAGAATTACCCTCATTTGATTGCCTCTTGGATGGCCTGTCTCAGGGAAATAAATGCTACCGAAGGAAAAGTGTTGGTCACAAACCCACTCTCTGGGTATCTGTTACTGTAAATTTAACCCAAGTCTGTAGTATCAGAATTGTCATCATTTAGACCTTATATTATGATTTTATAAAAAAAAAAACCTTAAGGGCCAGGAAAAAAGGTCTCTCTTGCTACTTCTAGAACTTTCCTATAACAATGTAGATTTCTTCTTGGCTTTATTCTCTGTCAAACAAAATCACTTAGGAAGCCAAATTTAAGCCATTTCAGGATTGCAAATGCGCAAAATCTTTTATGAGAAGCATTTGACCTGATTTGTTTTACTAATTAACAAATATCTCTCCCCTGGATGGGGTGTTTCACCCGACAGCACATTTTTAATCAAGGCGTAAATTGTAGCAAACCAAGGTTTCTAAGAAAACCATGAAATGCCACCTTCAACCGGAGGGATGTTCATGTCACAGCAATAACACAGCAGGGACCTGGATGAGAGGAGCCGGGAGCTAATTTGCGGAGGCAAATGAAGAGCCCACATGAAATAAAAACATTCTGCCCCGTCTGAAAATGTGACAAACGAATGGCCGCAAGGAGATTGCGGCTGGAGATGGCAATAACTCAAGGCAGGGTGGATGGATGGGGTCCGGCGGTGTGAGGGGCACTGAAGGATGATTCCTTTGCAGCAAACAAAACAAAACAACAACAAAAAAATTAGAACAGAAAACCCAACCCTCCAAAACCCCCCAAACAAACAAAAAAAGGAGGTTCCACAGAGGACATTTCCACATGAGTCCTAATGCTTAGAGTCCAGCTGTGGGACTTAGGAGTCAGTAGCAGGGTCACAAGGAGCAAGAGAGTTTGTCGTCATTTCTAGAGGCTGCAAGTTCCAGAGAGATGAGCTGTATTCAGTCAGAGGGGTTCAGTGCAGCGGGCTGTGATGTGCACAGGTGATGCTCGCGGCCTCTGTGCTGCAGGGTGGCGAGGCTGTACCAGGGATGTGGCTCCTGTGGAACACAGGAGTGAAGGCTGTTTACTTCAGGGCTTTGATATAGTTCAGTTTTTGAAAAAGCTATCTTAGTTAATTAATTTTCTTCTATCACATGCTAAGCCTCTGAGCTATACCCTGGTCCAACCCAGGACTCTAAGCACTTTGAACCCCGGAAGGATGTGTCCAACTACCTGCATAAGGTGAATTATTAGTCAAACACTTGGAGACTGAGGTAGAAGAGTGAGTTTGAGGCTAGCCTGTGCTACAGAGAGAAATTAAGTAATTAAACTAAAAGAATCAAAGACTAACGTTTTCAAGTTAAAAATGACACACACATCATGGTTGGTAAGATGACTCAGCAGGTTAAGGGACTTGTGACCAAATCTGATAACCTGAGTTGGATCCCCAGGACCCATATGTCATCATTGTGTGTACGTGTGCGTGTGTGGTATGTGTGCGAGTATATGTAATGTGTATGTGATACGCGAGCATGCTGATGCATGTACCACAGTGTACATATGGTGGTTGTAGGACAACTTGTGGGAGACAATTCTCTCCTATCATACGGGTCCTGGGAAGTTAAGATTCTCTATGAGAGGGTGGTGCCTGCTTCTTTGCTCCTCTACCTCTATCTCCCCTTCACTTCCTTCTGTTACCCTTTTTACCCTTTCTTCTTTTCTGGTGGAGGCCTCAGGGGAGTCTGAAATCTCCATGGCATCTAGATCTTAATGGAGCATATTAGAAAAAATATTGACACATACCTATACAAACATTTTAAAGTATAAAATCTCAAAAGTGAAATGTTCATCATCCCATTTCCCGTGGGTAATGACTTTTTGTAGTTTGTTGTAGATTTTGCTTGTAAGACACAATAATAACCTGCAGTATTGCCTTTATAGGAGCAAACGTCCAGAACCTTCCTTTGCCCTCTATCATGTGACCTCTCCTGGGAAGAGATGCACAAAGAAGCACATCTCAGACGGCGCACCTGTGACAGGCCAAAGAAAAGGTTCTATCTGAGCCCAGCTTTGTAAACCACTGAGTTTACTGGGTTTACTTATGAGAGCGCAGGGACTCAAAGGGAGCTGTATCCCCGAGAATCCCCCTTCCACCCTTTTAGGCATGCCTGATGACTCACAAAAACTACACCCCTGGGTTCTCTGCCCAGCCTGCAGGCAGCTCCACCTGAGACTCCCTTCTCCCTCAGAGTGACTGTTCACAGCTTATATCGGAGCCCCAGGGAGGGGACTACGGATGCTTCTGGCTTCCTGAGCTTGTGAGCTTCCCCAGATTTGGGAGTCTTAGGTGTGCTCACTTCCATTCAGGAGGGAACACTTTTGTTCACAGGAAGGAGCCACACAGAACTTCCTGTATCCAACATGATCTGCTTTGCCTGCTTCCGAAGGCTGTGAGATGACATTTCTGGTCTGGGACCTGTAGGTCTCCTGTTGCCCTATTTAAAGGCTGTGGCTATTTGGTAGACCCTATGGGTGTATCTCTTCCCTCCCCGTTCCTCACTGTTGCACGCACACCTAAAAGCTCCTGTTTCTCCCGAATGCACACTCACATATATCCTGAAAAGGTTAAAGCTACAGCTTAAGGAAAAGAGGGATCAGGGAGTGGAGTGTGTGTGCTCTTACATGCACACCTACATGCAGAATCTTTATGGCTGTGTTCACATTCAGAGGCAACGGACTCTCTCTCTGTCTATGGATTACTTATGTATGGCTACGTATATTGCATGGGCTGTGAGAAATCTATGCAGGTGGAAAGGGCAAAGGCCGTGCTCCAAATGGAAAGCCTTGATAAATAAGCAAGAGTCTGGGGCACTCACAGCCGTGTTTTCAGCTGCGCTGGAGCCAGGCACACAGAGGATAACAGAAGTCCCGTGTGATGAGAGAAGGGGAGTGGTGGCGGGACTCTAGCGCTGAAAGCCGCAGGACAGCAACAGTGGAGGTAAGAAACGAGTCCTCAAACATGGCAGCATCCCATGAGCACGGGGATATGGGAAGAGAGATGCTAGAAAAGAAAGCATCGTTATTCCAAAATATGCTACGAGGGAGTCTGAACAGAGAGAGAAAATATGGGAAGGCCAAAGTCAGAAGAGCAGGGGTTGGTTTTTCTCTTGACCAGTGATTTTGGGAAATTACTAAGTGCAGAATATGGTGTCCATTGTCCTTTTCTGGGCACTGTCACAAGACTTTTTTTCTACTTGAGTGGAGAGAAAGCTTCACACTTTCCCTCTTTATATTGTCTTAGACCACTGTAAATGGGAGCTGACTGGCAACTGGGACCGTGTTTCCATCGTAGTTTACGAGAGCTTTGCTCTGTGTCTGGGCGCTGTACGTGGGGGCGCTGTACGTGGGGGCGTTTTATGTGGAGGGCCTAGGGATCCTCCCACATGGACTCTCACATGTTAAATTTATTCCCAGCTTTGTGATGTTGGGGGATTCTGGAACCTTTAAGAGGTGGAGCCTCCTGGGAGATTTAGATTTCTCTAGAAGGGGATCATAGGGCACTAACTACTCTACTCTTTATTTCCTGTCTGCTGTGAAGTGAGCAGCTCCCTCCGCTACAAACCCTTGCTGTGATTTACTGCCGTAGGACCACAGCAACGGGTCCAGTCAGTCATGGACTGAAATGGTCAAAATGTTCAGCCCGTGTAAACCTTCCTTCATTTTAAGTTGATTTTCCCCGTTACAGTAATGGAAAGCTAAATGTCCGAGTGCTGGGGCTCAGAACGGCCGTGGTGGGTTTCCCAGCTGTTGTGCAGTGTCTTAAAGTAAACCACAGGCGGTGGCGTAAAGATACCCCCATCGTACTGTAAGAAATACTTGGTAGACAACAATGTAAATGCTGGACATACCTTATTTTAAAATTTCTTTACTGTCCTTTTGTTCTTGTTAACAGGTTTTCTGTAACACGATAATAGGTTTTTCCGCCAATGCATTAAGCCAGATCAAGTCTAACTGAAAAAGTAAAAGAACATGTTTATTTGAGCAAAGCAACTCCCTGGTGAGTTCTCCAGACCCTGGGATGGAGGCAGAAGTCACATACCTGTCGGAATTGTGCCCAAATAAGGTCAAAAGCTGAGCACTATCGCTGGGGGACTTGGGCGGCTGGCAACCTCAGGGGAGGAGCCAAGAATGCTGAACTGGACTTGTTGGTCTTTTCTTTCCCGGAGATTCACTGAAAGGGTGGGGTTTGGAGCGAGAGGAATGGGGCTTTCTGGACCAAGCAGGAGTGAGCTGGGCGTTCCAGCAGAACACTTGTTCCTTTCTAACAGTTTTCCTTGATGTTAGGGTTAACCAGTACCACAATGGTATCTATGGACTCTTCCTGCCGGCTTCTGGCTTTTAGCAGTTTCATCAGAGGCAGAAGCACATCTAACCACAGTGGTCTGATGGGCGGTTCTCTAATGCAAATGAACCAATGACAGTAGCCCATTCCCTGGCTGCTGTGATTGGTCCATGAATGAACATGTCACTGAGGATTGTCCAATCAGTCTCCTCTTGTGTTTTTTTTTTTTTTGTAGCACAATTCAAGTTTATTCCATTTGTTTTTGCAGCATGAAACTTAAACATAGTATTAGTTAGCATTCGGATGTACATGAAATAGGGTACTTATTAAAAACCCAACTGTGTCAAAGGAAGGACATTGTGTAACCATGAACTCAGATATACAAAAAATGCACAGAGCACTTACTAGTCTAGAAGCAGCGGCACATGAAGAAAGGAGTAAGTGCAGCGTGTGGAAGCTCAGACAAGTAGCTTTCTAGTCATTTCTCCTTTCCCCAGTAAAAGAGCTTCGGTTTATGTGTACCTGATGTTTATGTGTACCTGATGATGTTTATGTGTACCTGATGTTTACGAGTACCTGATGTTTATGTGTACCTGATGTTTATGTGTACCCGATGTTTATGTGTACCTGAAGTTTATGTGTACCTGAAGTTTATGTGTACCTATTGTTTACGTGTACCCGATGTTTACGTGTACCCGATGTTTACGTGTACCCGATGT